AGTGTTCACCATGTGACAGGGTGGAGGGCTCTGCACATGCTCAGTAGAGTGTTCACCATGTGACAGGGTGGAGGGCTCTGCACATGCTCAGTAGATAATAATGGTAATAAGGTCGTAATGATGGGAAAGAGGAGAGTCAGTTTTCTCCAGTAGTTTTCAGTCTTGTCAGCACCCAAAAGATGAAGCTGCAGTTAAGTTTGATTTAGTGGTCACTTTACAGGAAGCATAGGTCTGACTCTCTCTGCTCTCTCCTGTCACAGGGTCTGCTTGCTCTGGGAATCAGCCAGTCTGTGCGGAATCCGGACGCCGTCCACCCGTAAGCAAAGGCATTGCGCCCTATTTGATCCGCCCCCCTCAGACGCACGTTGACAGTCCAGGCTTTATGTGATGTGCGCCTTCACCCCTCCCCCAACAGGTATGGCTTCTCCAACATGCGCTACATCGCCTCCCTCATCAGTGGCGTGGGCATCTTCATGATGGGGGCGGGGCTTTCCTGGTACCATGGCATCATGGGACTCCTGAACCCGCAGCCTATGGAGTCGCTGCTTTGGGTGAGTCGCCCGTCACAAGACATCCTGCGTGCACCCCTCTCTGTGCCTGTATTAAACTCTTAGCGGTGACTCTTAGGGCGATTTTAAACACTCTACCATGTCGCTGTTCAGTTTCAATTTTCTGTCCTTCATTTGTTGGATATATTGACAAATGAAGGATAGAAAATTGATCTTGCAGTTAGTTTGGCATGTGTATACCCATTATTCAAATTTATTTTTAAGTTTTTATAAATGTATTCATCATTATTATTATTGTCTTTGCCTGTTCTTAAGGCTTACTGCATTTTGGCCGGCTCACTGGTATCGGAAGGAGGTCAGTAAACCTTTCTCTGCTGTTACTGTTATGCAGGGTCTGTTGACCAGTAACTTCCCTTAGTGTGTGTAATATTATTTCTTTAACATTCTCATTCTATGTGTGTGTCTTTGTGTGTGTGTGTCGGCCGGCCGGCCGGCCCCTGGTGGATGGGCTCCCCCTTTGAGTCTGGTCCCTCCCAAGGTTTCTTCCT